CCGCCCCCACTCGCGCTCACCAACCCCGACCCGCCAAGAACTCCACTGACGAACTTGATCGTCCGTCCAAACACCCCCCCACCACCGGCACCACCACCACCGCCCACCCTCTGGTCGTCCGCGTACCCCACAGGTCTGGGCGGTAAGACGTTCCGCGGGGCGGTATGGAACGTGTCTTCCCATGTGGGCAGGACGAGGTTGGGCGGGGGAGGTGCGGAGGGCGGTTTGTCCTTAGACGTGGATTTGGCGGATGATGTCGAGGGTGTAGGCGAGGATGTACGTTTGATGTCGGTCAAAGGAGCGGCCGTCGTCGCCGTGGTAGTGGATTTAGTCGTCATCGCCGTTGCGGTGGTGGTACTCGTGCTCGTGGTGGTCGAAGTTGAACCACCGCCTCCAACCTCAACCACCACATCCGCCGCGCTCATGCCCGTCGCCGTAGCAACCGCCTTGACCTTGTCGGACGTCGCGCCCGCACTCGTTTGGCTGGGCGGAACGGGCGTGTTCCGCCCACTCTCGCCTTTCCTTGGGGTAGGAGGCGTCGACGCAGACTTCTTCCCGCCCTCTAAAATCGCGACGGTCGAGCCGAGCTTCTTACCCCCTTCCCCCTCTGCTCCTCCCACCCCTCCCACCACCTCATCCTCCTCCTCAATATCCATAACCTCCGCCCCACTCTCGTCCCTCCTCACCCTATCTTCCTCTTCCGGCCTGGCTTCAACGAGCAACGGCGTCCTATACCCCACCCTCTTCCCAACCAGCGCTCTCGAGCTCTGAGTCCAAAAGGACGCCCACCCACTCTTGTTCGAGGCGAACGTCTGCGCTATCGGGTTGGGTTCTGGGTCTGGGTCGGGTTCTAGGGCCGTGGCGGGTGCGGGGTGTCCCTTCGCCTCCTCCGAATTTTGAACCGCCTCTTTAACCGTGACGTTCTCCTCGCCTTCGCCCTCTCCAGGCCGGACCTCCGCCATCCCCCTAGTCGTGGACGTGGTCGTGGTCGTAGACGTGGCTGTAGTGCTAGACGAGTAATACCACGACCACGGCGCCAACCACGTCCCTTGCACCTGCGCCTGCTTTGGTCCTTCGTCCACACCACCCACACGATCTCCTACCCCGCCCTCGGTCCTCGACCCGCCATCCGCAACCTCCAAGTCTGCACCCCCAAGTGCGTCGAGGGCGTCTAAGAACCTCGCTTCCGCTTCAGCCTGAGCCTGCGCCTCTTTCCCCACCTCCTCTCCTCGCATCTTCGCCTCTTCCCGCATCTTCGGGTCGTCGGCTTCAACGACTATAGGACAAGTCGTATCGAGCGTTGGCTGGGGACCTCCTCCATCTCCGTTCGACCCTCCAGTGTCTCGCTCGTCTTCCTCCGTCTGGATCATCGCACCCGATGGTGTGGTTGTAGTTGACGTGGAAGACCACCCGACGTACCCCCACCACGACGTCTCTTGTCTTCGTTGCCTGCTCTCCTGCTGCTGCTGCTCCTGCTGTGGGTCTGCTGACGTCGAACCCGGTGTGGAAGCAGCTGGTATCGCCGGCGGATTCGAAGAGTTCGTAGTGCTATCGTCTGCTAGTGTCGACGTCAACATCGGGGATGGAGGTAGGGCTGCGGGCGCGAGCGCGATGGTTGACGAGGAGGTAGCTGCAAGAGGAGTTGACGCCGATTCAGTGTCGGCAGTGTAGGTCCCAGTCGGATTTTGCGGAATCGCATCAGTCGTTGGTGATATGGCCGTCACAGTAGGTGCTGGAGTCATTGTCGATGTCGTAGTGCCTGTCGAGAGCGAGAGGGAGAAAGAAGACCGGGGGGGGGGATGTCAGTTGATGAACCGACGAAGATAGTGCGCTAAGATCATGAGGAAGGGAGAGAAGATGCAAATAGGAAATCTATCGAGAGGAAAGGAACGAAATAAAATAAAACGGAACGTACCACACAACCCAGCATCTCCTGCCTTCGGGTCCAAGGCCGACGTAGAGGAAGGAGCTCGAGGAGGGTCTGTGAGGGCAAACATGGAACACGTAAGCACGAGGTGAGGGTAGAGGTGCAAGTGGAATACGACGTCATGATTGGACAAGCGACGATGGACCGACCGACCGCCGAAACACGTTCAACGAGGATGGGCACATGAAACGTCAAAAGACGGCACCGAGGAAGAACGAAGAACGCGCACACCAAAAAAAGAACGACAAACGAGAAGAAGAAAAGACGAACTTACCTTTACTCTCCCCCTCCCCCTTACCCCGCGTCTCCGCCTTCACCCCCACCCCCACCACCCCCAACACACTCCCCAACGGCATCTTCGCCCGCCCGAGCAGAGGTATGCTCAGCGTGAACCGGCTGCTGCTCGCGTTCAGCGATACAGCCGACGGCGTTGGCGTTGGCTGCAGTGGCGGGGCTTGTAACGCAGGCTTCGGGGTTGTCATTGGTGTTGGGGAGAAGAGCTGATAGGCAGGCGGTGTGGGTGGTAAGCTCGGCACGCGGTCGTCGATCGAGCATGAGACGGAAAGCGCGGGTATTTGGGGTGGCGTTGGCGTTGGCGTTGGCGGCCGCGGAGGGGGAGGGGCGTGTATCGGCTGCGGCTGCGGCGCGTATATCGGAGGCGTTGGTCCAGACGATGACGAAGGGCTCGAGGAAGTCGAGGATGAGGGCGAGGACGAGGGCGAGGAGGAGAGGTCGATTGGAAGTCGGGCATCGACGTTCAACTTCGTATTCGGAGCTGCATAGGCATATGCATCGATAGCGCTGGCGGTGGGCGAGGAAGATAAAGGTGTGCTGGTACCGGAGCCGAACCAGGAGCGTTTGGCGGGGACTTGGGCCTGAGGCGGACGCGGACGCGGATGGGATGGGATGGGCAGAGGGGACGATTTGAGGGGTGGTGGTAGAGGTGAAGGTGGCGAGGAAATTGGTTCAGCGGTGCGTGACGGTATGATAGGTTCCTGGACGGCGGTTGGTGTTGGGGGCAGCACTTCCAACCCCGGAGATGGGGGCTGAGGGAGAGGGAGAGGGAGAGGCGTCGGGTCAGCTACAGGGGCGGGGAAATCGACGGCATTTCCCCCTTCCGTCGCTGTCGTTGGACTTGCAGATGAAGGAGCGTCAGGCGCGTTCACCTTCCCTTTCGGCCTCGTCAACGACGCGAACCACGATGTCGGAGCCGGAGCTGGGTGTTCGATACGCGATTGTTGGGGGTTAGGAAGAGGTGGGTTCGTCGTTGCCTGTAGTGTTTGCCCACTTGTGCTCGTACTGGTGCTTGTGCTAGGAATGGTCGGGTCAGCGTCGACTAGTGCTGGTGCAGGTGGTGGATTGAGAACGGGTTCTGTCGTAGGTGCAATTGGCGTTGATAGCTGGGCTTCGAGAACGGGAGGTGGGGGTGGAGGCGCAGATGCTTCAGGGGCGGTTGTTGGTGACGAAATAACGTCTTCCTGCGTCGTAGTAAATGTCGTTACGACAGGTTCCGAATGAACCGCCTTCACCACCGTCTTGCCCTTCGTCCTTGTGAGCGACGAGAACCAGGACGTCGAAGCCGGGCGCTCAGACTCAGCACGAGAATGTCGAAGGTTGGGAAGAGAAGGATTCGCCCGCAGTGCCAGCCTTTGTTCATCTGTGCTCGGAATCGGGGAGTCGGCGTTATCTTCCGCAGCTATCCAGCCGGTCAGAACACGTCCATCTCTCGATAACACACCAAAACCACGCACCATGCGTCCGATCCGGATTGGGGTCCTCATCACCCTCGACACTCTCCTCCAGCCGCGCAACCACCTCTCTCAACCTCGACGGACCCGCTCCTCCACTCGTCGATGGCGACACCATCGTCCCCATACTCACACTCCCACTCCCACTATCCATCAGCGTCCCATGCCCACGTTCCGCCCCCGCAAACACCGCCACGACAGAAACGCTCGCTGAAGCTTTAGAGATCGACGCCGCCTGCCATCGCGGCGTTCGGTAGATTGCACTAGTTGTGCTGGTCGTGCTCCGAATAGATCGGGTGGTGGATGTACGCCTGCTTCGCGGTGTGTCGATATTGCTGCTGCTCATCGCGGGTAGGGGTGGGGTGGCGCCGCGCAGAGGCCTCGAGGACGTGGAACTGGAAGGCAGAGTTGGGGTGAGTCATGTGATTCGTGTCACTGAGCTGCGGCGGCAATCCCTTTTCGGCGGTGAGCCGAGGCGGCCGGCCTGCTGTTGACATAAAAAGGGGACTCAGACGATAGAAGAAGGGGACTCGGAGGATAAACGAAGCAATGGCGAGGTCAGTGGAGGACTCAAGGTCCGAGAATCGACCTCCAGGTACTGTATATTAATCAGGTAGAGCTCCCAAAACTGACGTTCAATAAATGGTTGAATTCGAAGAGACAAACTCCTCTTTTATTATACGAAGGTGCAAGTGTCGAGAGTCGAGACTCAGATTCTTGGAAATTGTAGTAAGTTAGGCTGCACTAATTCTTTAAACCACCCTGCGTTATTGCTTACTTTATTCAAATTCTTTTCTGGAGGAACAAGTCGAAGACTTATGTCTCGGCTTGTTATTCTATTCGTGATGCTCTCTCACCCGTGTGGATTGACCACAATTCCTTCTGCTTATATTTCATGGTCAATCCCGCTGGACCATCTATACGTCCCCTGGACGGACGTGACCTTCCTACTTGGGTTGAAGACCCTCGAAGGATTCGTGTCGTCTTGCTCACAAGACCCTCAGGACAACTATGAAAGCAAATGTCGCCGTCGAAGACCTGTTCTATAGTCCGCTTGAATTATTAAGCAACCGCCATAGGCGGGGGAATGTTCGCTGCAGCATCTCACTTAGGCCAACTTGTAGTTCTTCATGTATTTAGACTATTGTAAACCAGAGAATAACTGATATTGAGCCGAGGTTTCATGGCTTCAGATCCCAATGATTGTGATCCATGCCATCGGCGACATGAAAATCGGTACAACTACACTCAAACGACCCGTAATCTGAGCCGGTATCTTTTACATATCATTACCCCTCTTCTAAGGACCGGTTTACGCAGTCTCGGAATGAGGCCGACCTTGGTAAATGACCCCCCGGCCTCCCACAGCACGGAATTGGCCACTTGCCCGAACAGCCGAATTTTGAGCCAATATTTCTAATAAATGTCGAAAATCAATGAGTCGGACGGAAAAAAAGGCCTAACCGCTCGCGAAAATAAGGAGGTGAGGAACCCACACCCACCCTCTGCGCTTAGCGCAGACAAGTTGCATTTGAAGTCAAATGTCTGTCACACTATGGATCGCCCATGTACGTGTGTACTTTCCACCTCCCGTCATCAGTGTATTCGGTGGTCCTCCTCATGTTGGTCGTTGAACGAGAAAGCCCTCGCGATTTCTGCCCTACCAGCATCTTATCTTATCTTAGCGAAAACGTCATCAATGCACAGCCCCCTGACAAGCTTGACTGCAAACCACCACGTCCTAAACCGCGTCCTAAAGCGTAACATCCCGTGTCACCCGTAGACTACAACCTATACGAGCAGAAACTGCGGATTTGAGCACCTGGTGGACCGAGACGTGGCATTTCCCGTCACGTACTGCTCACGGACGCGACAGGAATGAGAAGCAGGAAATGCAGGAGCCGGCAAGGGGGGATTTGGCGAAGGATTACGCGCTCTGTGAGCCAACTTAACTATCTGATTCTGCTGGGCACTCACTCGACTCTAAGCCACAGGTGGGACAGAGTCGAACGCTCCCCGGATCGATGAGGATCTACACCGGACGTTGTAGAACTCCTATGTTCGGTCAAAGCTCGAAAGCGTGTGACGAGGAGCTTGCGATATTACTCTCGCGACAATGTTGGTCTTTCCCCCAAGACGCACTGCTCTCATGCCTTGCCTTCTGCTGTTCGTGAAGCAGCACTCGATGACCATGGCCCGCTGGACCCGCGTCAGGAAAATAAACTCCAGGTCAGTTACCTCTCGGCGTCCGTGGCGGCGAATGTATCCTCGCTATTTCTACTGCTTCCATTATCTTGCAGCCTGTGTACCATAAAATCCTGCATTCAACGACAATGATAACAATCTCCGGGAATGCGGTATCGACCTACTCAAAGGCACAGAGATGACCCATAAACTACTCCAGACACTCATCGCGTGCGCATCTCGCACGTTGTTGATAGAAATTAACCTGGAGCGCGAACACCCAGCGACATGTGAGCAACGCCATTCTTTCCCGATATTAAAAGTACCATGATACTCAGCTGCGCGTTTCCTAGGTTTCCACCGTCACCATGGAGTGAAAAGTTTGACAGCAGGGAGCTGGGTCGAGGATGGGTACTTGTGTCATAGGAAGTCAGGTTCGAAGAACCTGTTCGGTACGTCCTTCACCCACCGTATCATCTTTCATTGAATAAAAATTGAAATCCCAGTACTTTCCAGTTTATTTTCTGGCTCGAATACGAGCAAAACCACGATACGAGGATTATGCTCTTTACTCGGCCGGCAGGGGCTGCGGGTCAAGGGCTGAAAAAGACGAGTACGCACACAATCATACCCTATTTTCGCGCCATCCCTGATCCGCATCAAAAGGGGTTCCCCTCCTGCCCTGACGCGCTCGCTGTCTCTCTTGTCATCTACCCCGGTTTGTTCAAGACCGATGGAAATTCCGGAAATGGCCCCCGTTGGACGAAAGGATCAAAACTTACGTCCTTGCATCATTCCTTTCTCTGACATACATCATTCGCCCATCAGCTCTTTCGTACCGCTGGACTCGGAATCGCGGTGCTTTCTGCGTTCGAATTAGCTGGAACGTCCCACAGATTGACTGTGATAGGTACATTTTGAACGCGATTTCCCCAGCTGGCAACAACGGGAATGGCGAAGACGAAGCTAATACTTCAAAGCCAGCGAAGAATTCGACGAAATTGGCGAGCGCGCCACACTCAATTGTTTGTCTCGAGGTGTTTCGGGTATCAATCAATCAAACGAATGTCAAAGTTCAATACTTTCTGCAACTATGTACGATGAGCACAATCTGTCTACCCGTCCTTACTATCCACCGCCAATCTCACAACTATTGCCGGCCGTGGTAGATAGCCTACCGATCCTAGGTCCTACCACCTTGAAACGTTAGAAAGGAGAGGAACGTTGGTTCGAATTCGAGGTGAATGAGTCGGCTACTTATCGGGTACGTCACTGAACCCCGCACCGCATTGCCTTTTCCTTCGTGCTGGCTCTTCTTCGAACTTTGCAGGGCCTGGTGACCTATTTAGCCCGATTCTCGATCTAGCGATGACCCCGCGGGGCATTTTGTGAGTTACGATCATTTACTTTTGACCTGAATGGTGTTCGACCCTATATCGTGTATCTCACGTCGCCCTAGCCTATCCGCCTGTTGGACTCGGCCCAAAACAAAGCGCCTCCCCTTTGCACGCTGGACATAGGCGCTTTGGTCTGACATGCCAGGGTGTGGGCGCAGCAATATCACTGTGCCCCGTGACGATCGCATCGTACGGATTCCCCGCAAAGAATGTCTATACACTTGGGACTGACTCATTGCCGGTTTACTGCCAGAATCTGTGCGCCCTGTGTCCGAGCGCGACAGATTGAGATTGGCGGATGCCGAATTGGGCGACCCTGCGGCGCGTGTCTTGTCCAAGTCCAACTCAATCCCCTTGAAACCCTCATTGAAGTTACAAGTACCGATCGATAGCAATGGCCCATGGGTGAATTTGCAGCCCCAACGAAATTATTGTATTGTAGGTCTTATAAACAAGTTAAGCTGCGTTTCTGCTTTATTTCCGCGCAGTCCTAGTTTCCATCCCAACTATGAAGTGGACGCCTACGCTCACATATTGGCTCCTCACCGAAACCACCATCATTGGGGCAATCGCCGCACCTTCTCAGTATCGGCATCCCTCTTTCTTTTTCATTCTCTCCCTCATATGCTATCAAGTATTTTTCACTAAGATCGACATTGGCGGCGAGCTCATGGCGGAGTGTGGAATCGGGATTCGACTCTTCGCCCAGCTCGTATCTACATCCTATTACCTCCTGCTAAACGACGCCCAGCGCGACCTACGAATCATAGGAGATAAGGAGGACATCGCCCTCAAACCATTCGCCTCTAGATTATGGTGGGCCGCTCATCTGTACTTCAATCCCCGCGCTGTGGGCTGGTCACACGAAGCACGAGGAAAGCTTCCGTCTCGTCCTACAGAGAAGACTGCACTTTCCTTCACTATTTCTCAACTCTCGTTCGTCGCACGATGCTTCCTCCTCTACACCGTCGCCGTCTATCTATCCCATCAGAACCCGTATTTCAACCGACACGGAGACTCGTCAGATATCACTGGCTTCGCCCGTCTCTGGCAATTGGGAACCGTTCTATACTTCATCATGGTATCCCTTGGCCTATCCATCCAATACACGTATCTCAGCATAGTTTGGGTTGCCTTGGGACTCTCGAAGCCGAAAGACTGGCCTCGGCTCTTCGGTTCGCCGGCCGATATGTATACGATCCGCCGATTCTGGGGGTCAGTTTTAGTTTCTTCATTTTATTTCTCGTACTGACGGCTGAAATCCAAACAGTGTTGGATGGCATCAAATGTTCCGCGGTGGTTTCAGCGCCCACGCTGATTTCTTTGCGAAAGCGTTTGATCTACCACAGAAGAGTAGATTTACCACTTACTTCAAGCTAATCGTCGTCTTCTCCATCTCCGCGTGCATGCATCACCTCGCCGACGTCGGGATTTTCCACAATTGGACGAAATCGGGAGCTATTCCGTTTTTCCTCCTTCAAGCTGTTGGGATCATGTTCGAAGATGCCCTGTTGGCGATGGCACGAAGGATTGGGTTGAAAGAGTCGCCGTTCACGAGGTTACTGGGATACGGGTGGGTGCTGGCGTGGTTTGGGTTCAGCATGCCTCGGTGGATCAACCCAATCGTTCCCATCGGGTACATCGACGAATTGTGTGGGTTTGGATTCAACCATGACGCACTTCACCAAATTATCGCGGACACATGGAGACGCGGGACATTGCTTAGGGCGTTCAAACACGCGGCGTCATTCAATAGGTGGGTCCCTTCGGTTTTGCTATCTCGCACTTGAAAGTTGACGATATCCGGTAGCTCTTCTCCGCTACTACACGCATTTGATATTAGTCCATGATGAATTGTCTTCCCCCATTGTATAGCTACTGTAGATATAAATTTTTATTCGTTTCTGCATTTTGCCCTACGGGCGCTCGGCCGCTTTGATAGCACTCATCCACACGGACTATTTATGGTATTTCGGTCGAACTCTCGGTTCAGAAGAAGTTGAGAAGCACTCTTTACGAAGCGAGGTTCATTGACGGCGCCTAAATAATTTGACAGTGTCAGCAAATCGAAAGCATTGTGACTGTGCTTGTCGTCCTATCACCTCTGCGCAGTGGTAATAAACGCCGAGTAACGATTAGGAATTTCCACAGGCTCCATCGAGCTTGACAGATCAAAAGCCTTATGCATTCCACAAACACAGCATCCCAAGCCTGTGGCATCGGCGCGGCGCTATCTCAGGTGTTCCATGTTCGGTATGACTGGGTCTACCCCGAGTACGTCGGCCTCAGGCACCATTACACTCTGGTCCGAAACGTTCCTCGGTGTTATACCCGTGCCTGGAATGTACATACTTTTAGGTAGCTAAAAGCGCAGACTCGCCGTGACTTGACTGGACGTATGTCCGACACATACCACATTCCGACACTATCGTAATGGTTTCGTGTCTGTCCTAATTCTGTGTTCTTCGGGATCGGCGCTGCCGGCATCTATTCTTAGCGCCAATCAGTCCGAGTTGCATCCGCGTTTGATCCCGTTTTTATGGCGCTCGCGTCGTCTAGCTCCCGGCTCCGTGCATGCACATCACATAGCCTTGAAACGGTTGCTCACCGCCTCTCGAAATGGTCGTGACAGAGGCATGATACAAATCGGATTCAGCGTTCGTCTGGAGTTTTACAGCCAAATTTCAGTGTTTCAAACTTTCATGGCGGGGATCGGTAAGCAGCGCAGGGCGGGGGCGGTGAGGTCGGTGAAGACGGGGAATCGCGCAATTTCGCACAAGACTCATATAAGTGCGAACGCCTTCAGAGTGACACGCATAATTGTTCATAGTGGGGATGTTCGGCCACCACCACTTCGCCATAGGCCTTCTCGCCCTCTCTTCGCTCGCCGCAGGGCAGAAGACGGCGCCCAAATGCCGTTGTATCTATGGTGAATCGTGCTGGCCGTCCCAGAGTACATTCAGCACGCTCCAGCGCCAGCTCTCCCAACCCCTCATCAACGTCGTACCGCCCGCCTCCGCCTGCTACCCCCCAGGCAACCCATCAGGCGACTGTGTCTCGGTCCTCACCAACTTCGCCGATGGTGGTTGGCGCGCAGACCAGCCTGGCGCGATGCAGAGCCCGTCGTGGGAGGCCTTCCTCTTCCCGAATGGCACGCTCGAAGGGTGCTATATGAATACCACACTTGGCCTGCCGTGCCTACAAGGGAATGTTCCACCGATTGGGGTGGACGCGAGGAACGCCGCTGACGTGCAGGCGGCTGTGGCCTTCGCGTCGAGGAATAACTTGAAGTTGGTAGTGAAGAATACCGGCCATGATTATCTGGGACGGAGCGCAGGGAGGGGCGCGTTCATGCTTTGGACGCACCATCTCAAGGACAAGTCGTTCAATAGGCAGTTCGTGCCGACGGGTGCGCCAAGGACTGAGAGGAAGACGTATCAAGGTGAGTTGGTTTCTTGATGACTTCGTGGTACCAGGTTTTCTAACGATTCAATTTAGCGGTCACATTCGGGTCTGGGATCCAGTGGGGCGAGGCGTACGAATTCGTCAGCCAACAAGGAAGATTTATCCTTGGTGGTATCTCGATGGGTGGAACAGTCGGTGCGGCTGGAGGATGGATCTTGGGAGCCGGTCACAGTACCTTCGCGCCTACGTTCGGATTTGGTAAATACTTTTCTCCTTCGAGACTGGATTCACACTGACATACATACCTCTCATAGGCGTCGACAACGTCCTCGAGTTCAAGGTCGTCCTCGCCGACGGAAAGCTCGTCACTGTCAACGCCTTCCAGAACCCCGACCTATGGTGGGCGTTGCGCGGTGGGGGAGGAGGGACCTTCGGCGTGCTCATCTCCGTGACGTATCAAACGCATGACATATTCCCCTTCGCCCAATCCACCCTCTCCGCCTCGTTTGATACCCCCGAAATCGCCCAGAAAGTCGTTACCCAATTCATCAAGCTCCAACCAACCCTCGCTGACCTGGGCTGGGGCGGCTTCACCTTCTTCACTGCCGCCGGTATTCAGATCAACTACGTCGCGCCGAACTACGACTCGGTCAGGGCACAGGCAGCGTTCGCCCCATTCGCAAACTTCGTGACAAATGCTACCAGCGGGCAGACGCAGGTGGGGTACACGGATTTTGGGAACTTCCCTGAGTGGTTCCAGGTGGTGTTCGCGGGTGGGCCTGCACAGGTGGGCTCGCCAACGGAGGTGACGGGACGCTTGTTGCAGAGAGATATGGCGGAGAATCACGCGGATGATGTAGCGAGGGCGCTGTTGTCCATCAACGACATCGTGGGCGCTTTGTGAGTTTCGAAATCGATGCAGTTGGACGAACTACTCACGTTTTTTGTTTAGCTCCGTTGCAGGAGGGGCAGCATCGAAGGCTAATCCTGATGCGATGGCCCTCCATCCTAGCTGGCGTAAGACGGTAACGAACATCCAGGCGAACGTTGTATGGGAGGATGGTGCTCCTGCATCTGTCGTTCGACAGCAAATCGAGACATTGAAGAGGAAGACGGCGATCTTGGACAAGATCAACACAGATTCCGCCGCCTACCTGAACGAAGTGAGTATCTCTTCCTCTCTGTACTTGGGGCTGTCAACTCACGTCCATCATCAGGCTACACGATACGAGAAGGACTTCAAGAAGTCGTTCTGGGGATCCCATTACTCAAGGGCTCGATCGATCAAAGCGACATACGATCCACAATCTCTATTCATCGTCCCTGGGGGCGTTGGTGCCGACGAGTGGGACAGCGAGCAGCGGTGTCGACTATGATTCCAACTAACACATCCATTTAGCTATAACTCCAAGCAGCACATTCATTTAATCACTCAAACGAACGGACTTGATAGAATACTTACTTCGAAACGTAGTGCACTAATAATTACAACCTCGACGGCTATCTATTTATGCAATATTTAATATTCGGTCAGTTAGATTACTGTCGATGAACTAGTAGAGAGCACATACCTATTGTGAACGATAACTTCCCTCCCTGGCTTTATCGTCGCGAAAGCGTGGTGGTGGTTCAAGTCCAAGTTTCCCTCCAGGGTTGGGGACCCGGGAGAGCGCGAGACGATCACGTGCATTTCTAGAGTTTTCCATTTTGAAAAATTTATAAGACTTTCGCACACGCACTCTTCCTCCGACTTCATCCCCACACCATCGCCTTCACCTCTTCCTTCACTCTCTCACTCAAAAATGCACCGTCTGTCGACCACATCATCAAGGTCTCTCCGCCGTGCCGCCGCCAAGGCTGCGAAGCCCACCATTACCCGTGGTGCACACAAGGAGATCAAGTTCTCGAACGAGGGCAGAGCAAGCATTCTCAAGGGCGTCGACGTCCTCGCAAATGCCGTGCAGGTCACTTTGGGCCCCAAGGGTGCGTGGAAGATGTTCTGTGGTCGTTATGGGGACGCTCACCTGTATTTTGAACGTGTTTAGGTCGCAACGTCATCATTGAGCAGTCGTTCGGCGGACCAAAAATTACCAAGGGTGAGTACGCGTCACCTCTGTTTTTCTTCGCTGAGGACGATGGGTACGGCGTGGAGGATGAGGAGGCATCGAGCGTGATGCTCGTTGTCGTCGCAGCTTGCCACCTCTCGCTGCCGAGGTCATGTTGAAGTTTCCAGCCAACATGGCCTACACAGAAGTCACATTACTGCTGCGAATTCGGCGGTTTGCTAGTTGCTCCGGACCAATGGAACGTGCGGCAGACCTACCTTCTTTCCTTCTTTCCCTCATGGGCTGGATTGACGCTTTTGTGATCTCGTTTTGTTGTCGTTTCTTCGGTTTATCCTTCCCCCTACTTCTCCCTTTCGGGCTTTTAAGCAACTATCTCTTCATTTCATCTTTCGGCCGCGATCTTTCGTCGCATTTTCCATCATTTTCTGTTTTATGAACTGTTGTTGGACCACCTTTTCATATTCTCTCTCCTCAAATTGTTGCTCGTCACGTCCCCGGTACTAACCTCTTTTTCAGATGGTGTCACGGTAGCGAAGGCTATTACGCTGAAGGACAAGTTCGAGAACCTTGGTGCTCGGTACGTGGGTCTTTATTTTTCTTTTCCGATTCCTGACGTGAGACGTTAGTCTCGTGCAAGACGTTGCCCAAAAAACGAACGAAGTCGCTGGTGACGGTACAACAACAGCGACTGTCCTGGCTCGTGCCATCTACTCCGAAGGTGTCAAGAACGTCGCTGCTGGATGCAACCCCATGGACCTCGCCGAGGTTCGCAAGCCGCCGTCGACCGTGTCGTCGATTTCCTCTCCTCCCACACCAAGACCATCACCACTACCGCCGAAATTGCCCAGGTCGCCACCATCTCCGCCAACGGCGACACGCACGTCGGCAACCTGATCGCTCAGGCCATGGAGAAGGTCGGCAAGGAGGGTGTCATCACCGTGAAGGAGGGTCGGACTATCGATGATGAGATTGAGATCACGGAGGGCATGCGCTTCGACCGTGGTTTCATCTCTCCTTATTTCGTCACGGACGTCAAGTCGCAGAAGGTCGAATTCGAGAAGCCTTTGATCCTCCTCTCGGAGAAGAAGATCTCGGCGTTGCAGGACATCCTTCCCACTCTCGAGATTGCCGCCCAGAGCCGTCGCCCCCTCGTCATCATCGCGGAGGACGTCGATGGTGAAGCTCTCGCCGCCTGCATCCTCAATAAGCTCCGTGGTCAGCTCCAAGTCGTCGCCATCAAGGCACCTGGCTTCGGCGACAACCGCAAGTCCATCCTCGGCGATCTCGCCATCCTTACCGGCGGCACCGTCTTCACACAAGAGCTAGACATCAAACTCGAGCGTGCCACCATCGACCTGCTCGGTTCGACTGGCTCCATCACCATCACGAAAGACGACACCATCGTTCTTAATGGCGAGGGCTCGAAGGATGCCATCGTTGCCCGCTGCGAGCAGCTTCGCTCGCTCATTGCTGACCAGACCACCTCCGAGTTCGATCGCTCGAAACTCCAGGAGCGTCTTGCGAAGCTCTCGGGTGGTGTTGCCGTCATCAAGGTCGGAGGTGCATCTGAGGTTGAGGTCGGAGAGAAGAAGGACCGATATGATGATGCCCTCAATGCTACCCGCGCTGCCGTCGAGGAAGGTATCCTGCCCGGAGGTGGTGTCGCGTTACTCAAAGCCTCTCTCCAACTTGCCACTTCCTCTCCAAGCTCCGGCGCCGGCTCATCTTCCGCCCCCGTCTCGCCTGACGCCAAACCTATCCCCACCGCCAACTTCGACCAGGAGCTCGGTGTTACCATCATCCGCCGCGCCGTCACTGGTCCCGCCCGTGCCATCCTCAACAACGCCGGCGAAGAGTCCTCCGTCATCGTCGGCACTCTACTCTCGCAGTACGGAACCCCCGACAAGTTCGCCTGGGGCTATGACGCGGCGAAGGGCGAGTACGTTGACATGATCAAGGCAGGTATTGTGGACCCGCTGAAGGTTGTGCGGACGGCGCTGGTGGACGCGAGTGGTGTGGCAAGTCTGTTGACGACGAGCGAGGCTTGTGTGGTCGAGGCCCTGATGAGGAGAAGGGCCCAGCGGGTGGTATGGGTGGTATGGGAGGCATGGGCGGTATGGGTGGATTCTAAACGCTTGATCGCCGACGTCGTCGAGGATTGGGGCTTGGACTGCCGCCAGCCTGTATGTTCGTTGGACGAGGAGGTAATGAGAACGTATGCATGTGAGAGGAGGTAAACGCGTGCCCGTACTCAAAAGTATCATCCAACCTTTCCTTCGCTATTCTCTCATCTACTTACATCACGCAATCCCACTCCCACTCCATCGTCTTCATGCATACTTACACTTGAGCTACATACACTTATTGCTTACTTAGATTACTGATATACATCCACCGCCACCACTCAATGATTATGCATCGTAATGTCCCATTGTGTTGCAACTGTGGGTATCTTTCAAGGACATTTTTTCAGAAGCGTCTGTCACAAAGATGATAGACTGAGCAGGATTGTGCGTAAAGTGTCTACATAAAATTAGATCGCAAACTTTCCCTCCCTCCAGGATCGTATGTTCTTCGAGGCGTCAGCTCACTCAGTCTCTTGCAAATCAGTCATGCTTTTACACCCGAAATATCCCTTAGGACTCTGTTTATTTCACCAAACGAATTAACGATGCTGCGTCAGCATTGGAAATGTGAGTGTAATTCCAACGGACGAGTGTTCTGAGCTGAAGGGTTTCGCTGAGGATAATCGAGGCAGGAAGTGACTGGGAACTAGTCGTTGCGGTGGCGGTAGGTGTCTGAGAAACGTTGGCGTATCCGGGTATCCCTCGCTTGTTCATTTCTGTTCGATGTGCCGGCAAACCTATCAAGAGATCAGTAGCGTTCGCAATGGCTTCATAAAAGAGGAGCGAACCTTGGCTCAGTTTCCCAAGAACCTTTTGAACGCCTCAAGACATCGCAAGATTTCGAGCCTGTTTGGAAGGGGGCGCATCCCTTCGCTGTTTCTGCGAGGGAGGGCGGGGATGTAACGAAGAACACGAGTTTCGATCTCGGGATAAGTCCCGGTCCGAACTGCTTTGCTCAGTGCAGCAGTGACGGGGACTTTGTACCAGGCTGGGGTGGTGCCGATCATGGTGAGGGCAGGGAACATGATGGCGTCGCGAGGTTGGAGGTTAAGGTGGCGTTCCCGTTTCATATTGTTCATCGCAAAGGCAGCGATCGCCTCTGCGATGACCTGAGGCTCCGGATCCTTCATGCTTGTTAACCTCTTATCCTCCTGTAACAGCAGCAAAATTTCGTCATCGTCTATGACGCAAACGTCAGTCTGGGCAATCAAGGTCTCCCCACAGATGAGAAAAGGAATGGCATGCCGGATGAAAACGATCCTATCGTTGTCATCGTATTCGAGGCCTCGCAATAACTCAGCGGCGAAGTTGGCAACAGCCGCCTCCTGACCCATTTTCGGATCCATCGCCAAGTCGAGGTAGTGGAGTAATTGCTTCGTCTTCTTTTCTGTGGCCGTCTCTCGAGATTCGTTCTTCATGAAGCCCAACAATGACGGCTCTGTTGGATCGGGGAAATCGTTAGTCCCAAAGAACTCGGCTTTGGTTTGAGGGACGACGGTGATATTGTATGCGTCTAGCTCTGCCGTAGTCCAGTTGCTGCCAGACTTAGCAGTTCTGAGAAGGTTGGCCATGGTTGATAAGGTTGTGGGCGCAGCAGGTTCGAGTTCTCGATTGGCTTACATAAACAAGTTTCCCATTGCAACATGATCGTAACCCTGCGTCGATTGGCGGGACGAAGAGAAAACAAACTTATCGGCAGATTTGTTGAGAAAGACTTCATTCAAGCGAGGTAGAACAACACCCCACACAATCAAGGTATATTCAGATGTGAAAGGCATCAGGAAAACTGACATGTCTTTGACTTCGGACTTTGGCTGAGGTCTTTCACTTACCCAGTCTTTTGGCCCACATCTCTGACTTTCACTGGACTTTGGCTTTCAACAAGGTCTTTTCGTGGACTCCGGACGGTCTTTGGCTGTGGTCTTTCACTTTGGTCTTTCAGACATGGAGTAGGAGAAAAATACTACTGTATAAGCACATATGAACTTGCCAATTAGCTTGCAGCACTTTCTAGCACAGTTGGGCATCCTTGAAGCTCGGAGTCAGTCGAGAATGCCGACGAGAGCGAACAGTTTGCGTCGCAAATGCTGAAGTCCATTCAAACTCCGCTCAATCAATGATGCCATGTGACCCCCATGTTAAACTTTCGCAGTCAACGTTCAACTTCCTCCATAGCTTCCTTCCTTCCTCCTACCATCTTCCTGCCGACCACCAATCTGTTGGACATCAAACGATTGGGTGAGTGTCTACTAAATGATAAGTCCTCCTTGCTATGGCATGTTAAGAGACGGTTATTGCCAATCCTCGCGAATACAACCAACACGATCACTAAATGGTCACTGTTTCAACCCTGGGCCTGAATGCGAACATTGAACGTCGTGGTGAGAGCTTTCTCCATGCTGTCGCTTAACCGCGTCTCACCCTCACTTACGGATGGTGCTGAGGAAATATGATGTGTATTTGAGTGTTCCGCCCCACCATGTCACATCCCATTCCTGAACCCATTGTTCCATTGTCCCATTGTTCATTGTTCTGGTTCATCAATGGGCTTTCCCTTCATTGTTCTATTCATTATTGTCCTTATTGTTCTCTGTCATTGTTCTGCTGGCATTCATTACATAACCTAGATCTTCTCCATTGTTCTCAATAGTATAAGTAGCTAGGTAGTGTACTGGATTCCCCAGCTTGAATCTCAACCTTGACAACCCCTCTGCTCTGTTGTTCATTCTCTGTCTCCTGGGCCTTGGCCAGGATGACTTCTTCTTGTCTCTCCTTTGTCAAGACCAAGACAGTTCCTGTAAATTGGGGACAACCAGATGATGTGTAGGGGCACAGCACAAGAGCATGCTGAGGCCAAGTCCCTCCCTCTGTTCAGGTCATTACACACCATCCAGTCCTCGCATGTCATTCTGTCAGATCCACTGCCACATCTGGCTCCAGAAGTCTATGGATTAGGGCCGCAGATACATATGTTGGCTGGGATCCTCACCTGTGAGTGCTCTCGGTCTCTTCTCATATTCATAATTGTTCTGCACAGCACCTCCTTTGGTATCCAGCCCATGCGCTGTCTCATTATTCTCTCTCATCATCATAGCACCTCCTCCCAGCCCAATTCACTAAGCCCGCAAGGATCTCCCGCCACCTTTGCCTTCTGCATACCAGTTCCTCCAGCACGAAGCATAGGCAAATGGATGTTAGACAGGACGCAGCTATTGCCATGTTTGATGAAGGTATGCTGTTCCTCTTCATCGCTGTTGAGTCAACCACTGAATACTTTCTTACAGGGCAAGGCGGGCGTGGTAACACCAAGGTGAGCAGACATTCTCTCGTCGATGTTTTCACCCCAGTATTCCACATTCCATAACTCTTATCTGAAGATACTCAAGTGTTTCTGCCCCGCTTCTCTGTTCACACCACCCACTGCCCATTAGATGAGTCTCTTCTCATCTGCTGTCTCCTTTCATCATTGACCTATGCTGTATTCTTTGTAGGTCAGTGATTGGATGCCATCATAACTATGACAGACGGTGCCTATGTACACTTCGACGGCTCATTTCTGGATTGGGTTCAGTGGGCATCACGTCAACCATTGCGACCTTAATCATCGTATGCTAGTAGTCCGAATGTAGATAGCGTAGTCCGTATCCCAATAAACTGGTTTTACAACAATTTATGTGCACTTTTGAATGACATCTAATGGATTTCATGTACACTTCGAAAAGCTATGCACGTCTTTTCCTGACTCCCAGAAGACATATGCTACTTTGAAAGACATGGATGTCTTTTGTGAGTAAATAGGCCCGGCTTTCGAAAGACATAGGGTCTCTCATGTCTTTCATGCCTTTCACGTCTTTTGGTCTTTTGAAAGACCTTGAAAGACATCCTGAAAGACTTGGTAGTTTTCCTGATTAATATCGTGCACGACCTTGGCATGACCAGTGCGCTGAAATGTGATAGTGGGATCAGTCAATGACACACAGAGTCCCTGTGGAGTAGTCCCTCTGCATGATGGCGAACATTGACTGTTCCACTGCTTGGAGGACATGATGCCGAATTTACACCAATGATAGGCACACTGTCAATGGATGAGCAGGACTCTTGTTTGGTGGCAGGCATCCCACCAGCAGTGGAGCAGTAGTCGGAGAGATCCGGCAGGGCAGTTCAGATTTCGAGGGGGTAGCAGCAAGGGAGAACAGAGAGGTGGATAGGATGGCCATGGCATACTCATGGAGAGAAAAATGCGGTTGGAGAAGTTCGAGGAGACGGTGTTTCCTGAGATCTTGAGTTGAAAGTTGATTGGCTCGAGATGCAGTGTCCAGACAGAGGCCGAAATAAGGTAGAGAATATTGAGGAATGAGAGGAGAAGACTTTCAAGATGGAAAATAAGGGCAATGGATTTCATGAAAGGAATGAATTGGACATACCAGAGCCATGATAGAGCCAGAGGAAGGAGAAATTTATGCCTTCTCTGAGTTGGGGCTAAAGGGCAAGCGGAGCATCGATAGACTCCGGCTTCAAGGCCAAGAGCAAAAAATACGGCGCTATCCCTCAGACCCTCGAGCTCTGACCTAGATACGAACTTGCATTTCAACCGCATACGCCGCCCAGCGTGGCCTCAATTATATTCACGCAAAAGTCATGCTTCTGGAACTAACGCGCGTACGTCGAGAGCAGTGAAACGTCAAAAAAAATACGAGCAGACTTTGAGCAGACTCCTGAATAAATGGAAGGAATTAAGACGCACCGAAAATTTTAATCATTTGCCGATCGCTGGTCTTCTTATTAGAGACGACGATTATTTCAAAGTTCTACCTTGCGGGCGAGGTTGAGCATACGGGTATCGGCCGTAACGACGAATCATTCGTCTAGAGCCAGCACAATGAGTATATGAACGATGTAGCTGTGTGGAAGGAACGTACCTGACTAGATCTGTGATATAAGGTCTACGCCCGCGCTCTATCATTCGGCCGAGTACATTAAGTCCGAAGGCTCCGGGAAGCGTACGAGATTTTGTGCGGCCCCCTCGGGAATATGGACACGAACATACGCCACGAAAGGAAACCGAGTAGGACAAGAGGGTGGTCAATGAACGAAAGCCCGCATGGCAGCGCTGCCAAGAGCGTAGAGCAGAGATACTAGAGCAAATAAATCCAAGTCAATCGTCCAGCACTTTACATATGTATGTCCGACTAGACGAGTATGACTGGAAATATGCATCTTGTCACTCGCCCTGCGCGAGACAGCGCCGCGAGTGGAATTCGGAGAGAGCGCGGAAAGTAATCGAGGTTCACGATGACACGCCGAGGTGGTGCTGCCCGAAAGCGCTGAGTGAAGGCAAATTGGGCTGACCATACATCCAGACGATCGTCTCATGATCGTTCATCCAACGGATCGACGACCGAGATGCTCAGGGCTGGAAGCAAGTCTCGTCTTCGCTCTGCGCGAGAAGGCGGCACGGAGAGGGCGCAGGACACAAGGCAGGTTGAACGCGAGAAAAAGGGAGATAGCGCGGTGCCAGGGGCCACTGACGAATCGAGATTCCGAGAGTAGTAGGTTCCAGAGTGACGAAGTGTGTGAATGGCATTTGGTTCGGCATATGCGAGACTGCCATGCGAGACGGGAAGAAGTGGCCACTTACCGTGCGCGTTGCATGAGCGCGCCCGAGGCCGAATCCCGATAGATCATAGGATGATAGCAGGCTCCAAGTTGCGGCAGCGTGAGTGGAGACGAGAAGGTATGGCCATGCGCGTAGCATGAAATGTCAAAACACTAAAGAAGCGACGGTCAATTGGGAGACTTTGGAAGGGAGGACATTAGTTAATCGCACAAGTCCATCCCGCTGCTCCCTCTACTACTGTCTTCCAACACCCGCGAGGGCCGATCAGCCGACAATCGATCAGCTATGGGGCGCTAGCGTCTACAGATGTGACATTCGAAAAGCGAGCTTGCAGATCCATCTTCCTAAGCCTCTTCTCCCTCCCCTCTCCGTTTGATTCGTGGCGATCGAGGCTCGACGACTCGGAATGAAGCACAGGACGAGGACAGACGTACTATATGACTCGAAGATAACAGAGGCAATGGGCGATCGATGATCGGAAGGAGGCTGCAGCTCCGAGAAGCTTGAGGTGAAATTGCAGGAATCGATTAGCGAGCCGACGTTCGGGGGCACAACGGATGTAATGGCGAGATCGTCGAAGAAGGTTGTGGGCGGTCCTGATGAGCCAGAGGTGGGGGGAATGTCGGTGGGAGGTCTAAGGACAGTGGTCGTGGCCAGATGAACACCCGCATCGGGTTTTGCCGTGCTGAAATGAAGTGGCTCGGGGACCTCGACTTCTTTCTTCGGCTTCTCCGAGTCGGTTGTACATCGTTAGATAGTCTTCCAAGTACGCAAGTCTCCCTTCGGATCTCCAATGGACTGAGCGAAGTGAATTATGGTCCTCATAACCCTCGCATCATGACTTAGTTCTCGGAATCCGCGGATATCCACACATCATGTATCCTAGACCGTAGTTCTCAACTTTCAAGACTCAAGGAACATATACGAAGCTGAGGCAAAGAGGCAAAGAGGACG